TGGATGTGTAACTGATGTGAATCTGCAATCTGTGTATGGGGTGAAGGTGAGAGTTCATAACCCACTTGAATCAAAGTGTGGAATATGATATGTCAAGAAATTTGTAATGTTTGGAACAACCAACAATAAAAAATTTAAAAAAAAAAAAAGAGCGTACTACAGGGATACTGCTACATCGATGTTCATAGCAGCACAATTCACAATAGCAAGACTGTGGAACCAACCCAGATGCCCTTCAATAGATGAATGGATAAAAAAAATGTGGCATTTATACACAATGGAGTATTATACAGCACTAAAAAATGACAAAATCATGGAATTTGCAGGGAAATGGATGGCACTAGAGCAAATTATGCTTAGTGAAGCTAGCCAATCCCTAAAAAACAAATACCAATTGTCTTCTTTGATATAATGAGAGCAACTAAGAACAAAGCAGGGAGGAAGAGCAGGAAGAAAAGATTAACATTAAACAGATACACGAGGTGGGAGGGAAAGGGAGAGAAAAGGGAAATTGCATGATAATGGAGGGAGATCCTCATTGTTATACAAAATTACATATAAGAGGTTATGAGGGGAATGGGAAAATAAACAAGGAGAGAAATGAATTACAGTAGATGGGGTAGAGAGAGAAGATGGGAGGGTAGGGGAGGGGAGATAGTAGAGGATAGGAAAGGTAGCAGAATACAACAGTTACTAATAGGGCATTATGTAAAAATGTAGACGTGTAACCGACGTGATTCTGCAATCTGTATTTGGGGTAAAATTGGGAGTTCAAAACCCACCTGAATCAAATGTATGAAATATGATATGTCAAGAGCTTTATAATGTTTTGAACAACCAATTTAAAAAAAAAAGATCAGAGCTGAAATTAATGAGATAGGGAATAAAACAGCAAGTTAAAGGATCAGTAAAACAAAGAGTTTGTTCTTTGCAAAGAAAAACAAAATTGACAAACACTGAAACCAAGTAACCAAAGGAAGAGAGGGAAAAAGAGAAAAAGCAAACAAATAAATTAAGAGACAAAGGACAGTATAACACCACTGAAATTCAGAGAACTATTAGGGAATATTTTGAAAATTCTCAAAATAATAAATCAGAAAATCTAGAGAAAAAAATGGACAAATTTCTGAAATATCTGACCTAATATTGAATCAAAAGGAAATGAAAAGCCTAAAGCCTAAACAGATCAATAGCAAGCAATGAGATTAGACCAGTATTAAAAAGCCTCCCAATGCATGGGCTCTCTCTCGTTCAGCAAGGAGGTCCATGGAACAGGGTAGAGAAGAATGTGGCTGCAGAGACAAGACCTCTGAAGACTAAGCTGGAAGGAGGTCTGATTTTATTGCGCAGTTACCATGTATATATACCAGGGCAGTAACTAGGCAGATTATAGACAGCCACCAATACAATGTCTTGCCAACTGTCCTTGCAGTGACCAATCAATGAGCCCTGGAGCAAGCGCCTGGACTGCAGCACATGACCTCACTCCAAGGGCTGTGCATACAGGGTAGGCAGTTTGCCACTCCTGCGCCTCGCACCAGGGAAGTGATTTGCCACTCAGATGCTCTTAACATATGCAATGTATGCAGGACTCCATGCACTAGTTCCCACTTCCCAACAAAGAAATCACAAGGACTGAACAGATTCACAACTGAATTTTACCAGATCTCTAAAGAAAAGCTAATACAAATGCTCCTCAAACTATTCCATAAAATGGAAAGGAAAGTAATTCTTCCAAATTCATTCTATGAAAACAGAATTACCCTGCTACCTAAACTTAATAAAGACACAAGAAATAAAATATATACTTGCAAATTGAGTTCAACATCATATTAAAAAATCATACACCAGGGATGCAAGATTGGTTCAACATTTGCAAATCAATACCTCAAATGCACAATATAAATCGAATCAAAGATACAATCACATAATTATCTCAATCGATGCAGAAAACTCTTCAATAAAATTCATCATCCCTTCTTGATAAAAGTCATGAATAAACTAGATATAAAAGGATCATAACTCAACCTAATAAATGCTATGTGTGGCAAACCATTGTTCACATCATACTAAAGAGGAAAACCTGAAAGTGTTTCTTCTAAAATCAGTAATGAGACAAGGATGTACACCCTCAACACTCTTACTCAATAGCACTAGAAATTTTAGCCAAAGCAATTGGTCAAGAGAAAGAAGTAATAAGGCATAAACTTAGGAAGAGAGGAAAATAGATTATCTTTGTTTATATGATTCTGTACCTAGAAAAATGTAAAGATTCCACCAAAAATCTCTTAGAACTGATAAGCAAATTCAGCAGGATACAAATTGAACAGAAAATGGCAGCTTTCCTGTGCATCAACAATAAACTCACTGAGAAAGAAATCAGGAAAACATTCCATTCACAATAACCTTTCTTAAATACCCAGGAATAAACCTAACTGAGGAGGTCAACAATTTAAATTATAAAATATTGAAGAAGATGCTAGAAGACAGAAAGGAATCCTATGTTCACAGATTGGAAACATAAATATTGTTGAAAAGTTCCTACCACCGAAAGTGATCTACAGATTCAATGCAATCACCATCAAAATACCAATAACATTCTTTACAGAAACTAGGAAAAACTATCCTAAAATTCATACGGAAGCACTAAGAACCCAAATTGCCAAAGCAATCCTGAGCAAAAAGAACAATAGCCAGAGGACATCTCCATACCCAATTTCAAAATATACTACAGAGCCATAGTAACAAAAATAGCATGGTATAGGCATAAAAATAGACACAAAGACCAAGGAATAGAATAGAAGACCCAGGAATAATCTCACAAAGCTGCAGCCATCTTATTCTTTTTTAAAAAATATTTGTATTAGTTACTGATGGACCTTTATTTATTTATTTGCTTATATGTAGTGCTGAGAATCAAACCCAGTGCCTCACACATGCTAGGCAAGCACTCTGCAACTGAGCCACAACCCCAGCCCTTCCAGCCATCTTATTCTTGACAAGAAAGTCAAATATATAGATTGGAGAAAAACTGCCTTTTCAATAAGTGGTGCTGAGAAAGTTGAACTTCCACCAGTAGATTGAAATTAGATCCCTATCTCTCATCTTATAGAAGAATCAACTGAGAATCTATCAAAGACCTTAATGTAAGGCCTGAAACTTTGAAACTATGAGGAAAAACAGGGGAAGCACTTCAAGACACAGTGCTTAACAGACTTTAGTAGCTCAGGGAATAAAAACCAGAATTGACAAATAGGATTACATCAAATTAGAAAACTTCTGCACAGCAAAGGAATCAATCAATAGAAACAGAGTCTACAGAATGGGAGAAAATGTTTGCCAGCTCCTGGCAGATTAATATCTAAGATATATAATGAATTTAAAAAATTAACAACAAAATTCACAAGTAATCCAATTAATAAATACACAAAAAATGAACAGATACTTCTCAAAAGAAGTACAAATGGCCAGTAGTTACACCAAAAACAAAAACAAAAAAAATGTTCCACATTTTTAGCCACAAGGGAAATGAAAATCAAAATTACATTGAATTTCCATCTCATCCAAGTCAGAATGGCTATTATCAAAAATAATAATAATAATAACAAATACTGGTGAATATGTAGGGGGAAAGGAAAATTTATACACTGTTGGAGAAAATGTAAATAAGTGCAGCCATTATGGGAAACAGTATTAGGGTTCCTCAAAAAACTAAAACTAAATCTACCAAATAATCTAGCTATACCACTTCTGGATATATGCCTAAAGGAATTAAAGTCATCATACTGATCATACTGTAGATACCTGCATACCCATGTTTATTGTAACACAATTCATAATGTAGAAAATTTTTTTAAAGGATGACATGAATGTAGAAAGGGAACTATTAGAGAAGGGTAAGTGCGACAGGAGGAGGGAAGGGGAAAAAAGAGACAACAAGAAGGGTGGATAAGATCACTAAACCTAGACAGGTGTGGTGGTGCAGGCCTGTAATCCCAGAGACTTCAGCTTCAGCAATGGTGAAGTGCTAAGCAACTCAGAGAGACCGTAATAAAATTAAAAAATAAATAAAATAAAATAAAATACAAAATAGGGCTGGGAATAGAGCTCAGGGGTCAAGTGCCCCTGAGTTCAATCTCTGGTACCAAAAAAAAATCATATTCATGTATACAACTGTCACAATGAAATCCATTATTTTATACAACAAAGATGCCCTAACAATTATACTAAAAGATAATAATATACTTTAAAAAGACTATCATCATCCATGATTTGGTGTTCTTGTGCATTGGAATTAAAATGAATTGTGACACATACTAGAAAAACGCATTGAAAATTTTAATGTATTTCCAAATGTAAATAAGATATATCTAATACTGTTAGATGTGTCCCCAAAACTCTTGAATTTGAAACTAATAACACAAAGGTAGGATACTTGGAATAAAGCAGCCTCGTGATTTAGAGAAATTTTTTTTAAGGTTTTGAAACTGTTGGGTACATTTGAAATCAAGCTTTTATAGTATCTGATTCCCAAAATTCTCATTTTATGCTTCATTTCTATTATAAAACTTTTAGCACAGCTTCTACATTAAAACTTACTTTTATTTGCATAATATCATGAAGTGCTATTTTAATAACTATGCCTCATATGCCTGCATACACACATACATCTTCTGAATTATAGGTCTCTCATTTTAAAATCTCCACAAGGTTAATTATCAGCAAAAACTTCATAGTATTTATTACTATAAAGACTTCTTACCTTGGATATATACCTAAAGGAATCAAAGTCCTCATACTGATCATATTGTATAATATAGTCTGTATTGATATTCTCCTGTGTAAAGTATATTAACATATATACATTTAAATAGATTGCTAAGGTTGTAATATGTTTGGTTAGTGTTTATTCCAAACATATATTTGTAAAGTTCAAAAATTTACATTCAATAGAAGAACATTGGGAGAGTACAAATTTCTAACACACAAGACTTTGTCCTTCAAGAATACTCTAGATGATCCCTGAAATTAATTAGGGTCCTCACATCCTCGGACCTGCACCTCAACCACCTCAGCACTGAACAAGAGGACCACTTCAGCTTATGGGTTCGCAGAATAAGGACAAATGAGTGGCCTGAAGGAAAAGCTGTTCCAGTAACCAGGCCAATAAAAAAGATAAGATTGGGCTGGGGATGTGGTTCAAGCGGTAGGGCAGTCGCCTGGCATGCGCGGGGCGCTGGGTTTGATCCTCAGCACTACATACAAATAAATATTTTAAAAATTTTTTCTCTCTCTCCTTAAAAAATAAAGATAAGATTACTCCCCATTAATTCAGAGCTAGAAATTTCTATGACATGAGAATAACATGGTATGTAGCAGGAGAAAGGTGATCACAGTTTGTAAGGCTTTCAGGTGGGCCATGGGCAGGCATCTCTGAACCCTCTGACATTGTGCTGCATCTCTTCAGATGTTTCCACAGGGACATGATTAGCAGGAGAAAAACCAGCAAGGACACAGTAAAGGAGATGAACATGAACATAGAGTTGATGAGAAAAAGAAGTTTGGTAGTTTGTACAGAGTTTCTGAAAATGGAACTGTGAGATAGGTTTCTTTCATGTTTTTATCCCAGCCATCGATATGTGTGTTTGTAAGTATAATTTTTAAAGACAAGAACATCAGAGACACCAGCAGCATCACTGAAACCACTTTTTTAACTCTCCACCTTAATTAGAGAAAAATAGACTAAGAAAAACTAGCTATCTTAAGAAAATAAAAGATGCCAAGGCTTGTTGACAGACAGAGGTTGAAAGGTTTCAACAATCCAACAATCGCTGTCCAGATCAAAACAGTCATTTTCATCATTTTTGCAGTCAGCAACGAATCTAGACAAAGCACAGGTACAAGGATATTGATTGGTATTGATGAGAGCACACCAATTCTGGAGATTTCCAGAGCTCTGAGGATTCATTCAACTGAAGAGATTTTCTCTTGACCCATCCACACAGTTCACCAGTGCTATGAATCCATTTCCTAAACTCCCAGTTATTAATTCCACACTTAAAATAATTGTAAATATGTTGTATATGACATCACCCACCATCCTAAAAGAATGTCCCAAGGTTTAATATCACTGCTGAAGACTAAGTTATACATTCATTTAAAATGCAATGGATGTTGGATTATTGAAAATTCAGAAATATTCTCCCTTCAAAAACTTGTGTATACAATGACTAACCAAGAAACCTCCAGATTTTCTCATGACTGAATTAAGTTTTGTGCATGAAAATCTTGTATTTTCCAGACAGCTCTACTGGGCTCCTCAAAATATTGTGTACCTTACACATAGTAGTCTGGAGTCTTTTGAAGTTGATGATGGATATGTTGAATTCTTTTGTGCTAATATTTGCATTGCTTTGATTTTTTTTTTTTGCCCTATCTACATATTTCAGTCTGGCATTTATGGCAGCATGAATTCTGAGTAAGTAATATTACAAAATCCTAACATAACACACATAGCAGGTACCAAAAATATGAGCTGGATCCTCAACATCACAAAAAAATGGGGGGTGGGGAGCCGAGCTGGTAAATGGAACTTCCAAAGCATTGAGGATTTAAAACAAAAGTTAAGTATATATGGGAACCTATACATATGTTTTCCAGAGCTCTTCCCACAAAGTGTCAGCATGGAGCTCATTATTTGAGGACTGAAATAATATTTGTCATTTTAGTTTTTATAAATACATGGGTAGACAACCTACACAACCAAACCATAAAAACACATTTACTCTAATCCAAATCTCCTTCTATTTTCACTCTAATAATTGAGGATTTTTAGATTTGCATTCAATATATATCTACCTCATACTGAGTAAAGTGATAGTTATTCTGTCATATATATCTGGAAACATTTTTAAAAGAATGACAGAATAACTAACTATCACTATATATATATATATATATATATATATATATATATATATATATACACATATATACATACATACATACACACTAAATATATACAATACTAAATAATATATTTAGTGTAAATATTCAGTAAACTTTATTTTTCTGTGCATATAAAAAGTGGTGGAAATCTCTCTGTGGTCTCCTGAAGCAGTTACTGCAGCAAAAGAGTTCATCCACACAAGAATCCTCCTCATTCTCCACCTGCTCCTTGCCCAGTAGGGACCATTCTTCCATCAGCACCAGAGACTTTCACATTTTATCCACCTGCTCTCACCTCCCACCAACATCTGCTCCATGACCCTCACTACAGGCACCCAGGTAATGAAAGATAAAGGTAAAGGCAAATAAAGGTAAAGGTAAAGGCACCCAGGTAAAGGCAGCCTGGGCAAGATGGGAACTAAGCAGCCTGGTGACATTGTTTCTCCTCAATACCTAAGAAGTAAGTAGGGAACAAATAAGAGGAATACAGCAACAGCTACCAGAAGCAACAGAAAAAACATATATCCTAAACTTTAGGCATGGCAAGGAAAGACACGGGATATTGCATGGTGAACATGTGACACACCCTCCATCCTAAAGCCATACTGAACCAAGCAAATGAATACAATATATCTTGAAATTTCTCACAGATGCCCAACAATTAGGGAAGAGAAATACTGAATAAATGTAGACCTGCCTGGGGAAAATACAATGAATACTCCTCAGAACAGAAGAAAGGCATACCATTAGTATGCAGCTGGAAGGTCCTTTGGCTTTACTCCACACATCAAAGATGAGCTCAAGAAAGACAACCTAGGGATAGGGCTATGTGGAGGGGGAACTGGGACTGCAACTTCTTGGGCTTTTTGAAAAAAGCCAGAACTTGGGTCCCACGAAGGCCACACTCACCTCTGAGCAGCTCTCCCTGAAGCTTCACCTGTGCACCTTTCCCCTGGATGGGGAACAATTTAGGTTTCCACCTGAACAATAGTCCAGAAAGAAAAATAACACCTTAGTTCCTCAGGGAGAAACAGTTTCTTTATTCATTTCATAGTTAATGTTATATTTAGGCAATGTTGTATTTAGACAAGGTTGAGGAATTTCTTTTTAACATTTTCATTGTGATTACAGTATCAAATGCAAACAAAATGAAATGGACTCATGGAACATAATTCTATGTAGCTCTCTGCTAGGTCACTATATCCATAATAACAGTATATGTTCATAAACCAAGTGATAAGCATATTGTTATCTTAAGTAAAACTATATCAAGTTTTTGGTCATCGTCACTCTAATTAGTAAAATTTCAGGCAAAATATTATTAGAGCTCCCCTCTCCTTATTCAATTTTTGGTAGTGTTACTTCTAAATATATCTTTCATATTTGAAGAGAAAAGAGTATGTTTTCTTATGTGAGATAGATGATGCATGGATGGATGATGATATATTAGATGTACGTATGGATGGATAGGTAAGTAAGTAGATAGATAGATAGATACATACATACATACATACATAGAGTGAAACACTCAGTTTTATTCACCTCTATGGAGCTGCTTAACTGAAGTCTGGTAAAAGATTATATAAACTGATCAGTGAGGTTAGCATAACTCCAGTATCTGTGGAACCAAAGAGACCTTGTGTACACTGCATGGAGTAGGAGCTCCTAAATGTCACACGCAACAGAAGTCCATCCCTATGTGTTTCTAAATGTGTAGTTAACATGAACAGATTTGGCCATTGGCAAAACTCTCACATTGCTTCCTGATCTGTACAGTAAGGGACATGATTGTGAGCCGGACCAAGGGGCACTCTGAAACTCTCCCTTCCTGAAAGACAATGAATAAAAATTAAAAATCACACTTTTGAAGGAATGGGATAGATTACTGCCAGCACAGAAACCTTAATGTTGCAGGGGATCATGTTTCTTTTCATATCCTTGTTGAATTTAAGTATCTGGACTTTGCCAAAAACAGCTGGGATACAGAATGTGAGTGCAGATTACCATAAATTTACATTTCACTGGTTGCTCTTTCCAAGAAGTGGTATCATCAGTGAGTAGGACACATCCTCTGGCCCTTTGTATGTGGCTATTGATTTGGTGAATGTATTTTTAATCTATAGCCATGAAGAGAAAAGGTCAAAATAATTTAATTTTATTTCTTAAATACAATAGTATACCTTCACTGTTTTATGTTAGCGCTATGTCACTTTTTCAATTCTGTTTCTTTGATATCTTGCAAAACATTTGTTTGTCAAATGGTTCATATCATTAACACTATATTAATTGATATCCATAATCAGGTAATGGCAAGTTTCTTAATTATTATAAAGTACCATAACTTTAAAAACACAAATGAAATACTGGAAGAAGGTACATAAACCTGATAAGATTTAGAGACTTCAAAAATCAATGTCATTTGGGGAGGGGGGAGGGGGGAGGATGGGAAAGGCAGCGAAGCACAACAGACACTAGTATGGCAATTTGTAAATCAATGGATGTGTAACTGATGTGATTCTGCAATCTGTGTATGGGGTGAAGGTGGGAGTTCATAACCCACTTGAATCAAAGTGTGGAATATGATATGTCAAGAAATTTGTAATGTTTTGAACAACCCACAATAAAAAATTTTTAAAAAAAAATTTAAAAAAAAAAATCAATGTCATTTTTAGGAGTCAATGGTTCAATTTATATGTTCCAATACATTTCCTAAGGTGAATATGATGTTGTCATATTTTTATTTCCTATTAATAAAAAGGTGGCACTATGCATTGCATTCATGAACATTGTACTGACATGGATGGAGTTTCCCTAAAAGCTGCTGGTTTCAAATGGACCCAGAGCAAGAGAGGGCTCTGCAGCTGGTACAGGCTATTGTCCAAGTTGCTCTTCCCATTGTTCCAGATGAGTCAGCAAATTCAAATTTGAGAGAGGTCTTTTCCAGTGGAGTCCAAGAGGGAACCAGATCTAACATTAATATGGTAAGGACATGAATGTAGGAAAGACACTGCACAAGTCTCTGACAAGACTCACAGGCAAAGGGGTAAAGCCAAGGTCCTGCTGATTCAGTACAAGGCAATACCCTCTTCAAGAGGAACACCTTGTGTCTGAGAACCAAGTGGTAAGAGCAGACATTTAAACCAAGCATAGGTCTATTCTCAGCACCACACCTTCTGTGAATGCACAAGTCATACATTT